CATATTTGGGCTGCTTTGCAACTTCATCTTTCTGACACCAGCCCTATCTCGTCTTCCTGGTTCCTTAGTCACCCCCCTGCTATGAATCTATAGCCTATGTTCCATGCAACCTGTTTATGCCGAGAACGTCACTGTCTTCTCCATTCATCTCAGATGCCATGGGAGCACAGTAGTTACTGCTCTGTCCCTCTCTGACACCTTTTCCTCACACCCTGAAGTGACCTTGACACAACACAGCGGGGGCCAGAGTCTGGTTCTTGTCACATGGTCCATGTTTCAGCGACTGTAAGTTGTCATCACCGTCAGAGTCTCCATCCTCTCTGCCAGTTACATAAGAGGCCACATAGACGTCTGCTCCCAAGCACAAGCTTTTATTAACCAGAGGCAGTACGAGAAGCCAAGTAAGCAAGAGGTCCATTCTGGAGCCATGTCCCCAGGGAGGGTGAGGGACTGTCATCAGGTCAAGGCTCCTGGGGCAATTCGGCTCAGCTCTGGGCCTGTCTGCAGCCTTCAGTCCAGGGACGACATGTTATGTTGTCAGCCTGAAGGAGCAAAAAAGAAGCAGCCCTTTCAAAATCAGAATGCCCCTGCTGTTTGTTTCCTTTTGGAACACAATAAGAACAGACCGGGGACATGACTCTGGGCTGTCAACGCTTCCTACCAGCTTCCACAGCACCTTTCATTTGCCAGAAGAAAAAAAAAAAAAAAAAAAAAAAAAAAAAAAAAAAAACAAGCTGTTTCAGTTAAACAAGGGCTTAATGAATAGTCAAAATAATTGTTTAGCTTGGATATAAGGCCTTAGGTAAATAGATGATTGCCTGAGACCCTGGGCCAGGAAAAGCAGCTCGGCAGGACACCGCTTGTTCTGTCCCTCGGACAACAGCCCAGTGGCCTCTGCTCCTCTGAGGACTGTTGTTACTCAGTTCATTCTCTCTCCCCACCAGTATTAAAGCAATTTAATATGAGAATGGGCTCCTCAAGGCAGGGAGAAGGAAAGAAAACTTTCTGCATTAGAAATGTACCGTTCAAACATAAATCTTACTACATGAGCGCTTCCAGTAAATAGAATGCTTAAGATCAGGAAAGTCTGGTTTGTTCGTATTGAATTGTTTTTATGTTATGAAATTTCTCAGATGCATTGTTAGCATGATTGCAATTATCCTGCCTCCTGCTTTACCAGTATTTTTAACGTGGTTTCCTTTAGAAAATGATTATTTGCTACACCAAAGGGGTATTGTTAGGGTTATGAGGAATCAGCTTCTCAAAGTGCAATTGTAGTTATGGACAGTGTCAGCACTGAAATGGACTCTTCCAGGTATGGTTTCCTTATTCGTTATTGCTGATTTGTTTGGGTGTGTTTGCTTGTTTACATATCTTTGCTCTCATCTGGCTCCATTGTTATTTGTCTCTTCTTCCCAAAAGTAGGATGCAATGTGAAAATTTGTTGCCAGCTCATTTCAGTTCTGCTGAAGAATATTTTTAATAATTGCTTTCTTACTTGAAAGTAATAGATTCCTTGTTGATCCAGAACAGGATTTGGTTGTCTTACTTAAACAGCCCATTTCCACCAAACTGCTCTTTGATTGAACCTTGAACTCATCAAGGGAGTGGAATTCTCCTGGTATTCTTTTTCCACAAATCATAATGACTGTATATTCGGTTTACTGGCAAACGGCAATCAAAGCATATATTATGTAAGAAAAATTTAATGCTGATCTGTTTAAATAATTTTTCATCTTAATAATATAGGAGAGTGGTTAACAACATGAGGTTCCAAGTCAGTTCTGAGTTTAAACACAAGGTCTGCACTTACTAGCTCTATGAGCCCAAACAAATTATCAAATTTCCATTGGCTTTGTTTCCTCATCTGCAAAACAGTCAAATATTACCTACTTTGGGTTGTTGAGTTGATGATGTGAGATGATACATGTAAAATGCTGCACAGTGTAAGTATTCAATGAATGTTAACTACCACATTTTCACATACCTTATAATTTCCTTACAACTCTGTAGACAGAAGTGCTATGATTTATGCAATTTAAATATTAGACAACTGGACTTCAAAGTGATTATTGATTTATCGAAGGTTACCCAAGATGGCAAAATGTTGGTCCTCTCAGTACAGGAGCCCCCAGGTTCCCAGTGTGTTGCCCTTCCTTCATCCATTCGGCCACAGGGTACTCTTCCTCAGTTTCCCTAAATCTAAAACCTTACATGATAATGGGCCTCCTCTGCCTTAGACTCTCAGGCAGACACTAGGAAGACTCCTGTCACAGGTGCTAAAACGTTCATCAATATTACATAGACATTTTCTGGGGAAATGGTAACCTTATAACTACAAAGACAAGAAGAACTCTTTGGTAATGCTGAGAAGAAAATACTAATAGAGACGTAATTTCCAAAAGGTGAACTGGAAGGAGCCCATGTGATTACAGCAACAGGTCAGCACATCCACAGCCCAGCCAGCTTTGTAGAGAAAACGTATACAGTCTCCTCCATGCATCATTTTTACTGTATATGTCCCTCTTCTTATCATTATAAAACATAAATTTATTTAAAGTCAACAAGTCTGTTACATCCTTTTAACATGCTGTATTTTCTCAATTGATATCAAAACGACAACTTCTTTTATGTGAGGATCTAAGATTTTCATTTCTTTTTTCATTTTAAAAACCAGGTCTACACCTACATACTCCATAAGGTGTGTGTTTCTTTCTTTTTCTTTTTCTGAGACAGAGTTTCACTCTTGTTGCCCAGGCTGGAGTGCAATGGCACGATCTCAGCTCACCGTAACCTCCGCTTCCTGGGTTCAATCGATTCTCCTGCCTTAGCCTCCCAAGTAGCTGGGATTACAGGCATGCGCTACCCCGCCAAGTTTTGTAATTTTAGTAGGGTTGGGGTTTCTTCATGTTGGTCAGGCTGGTCTTGAACTCCTGACCTCAGGTGATCCACCCACCTCAGCCTCCCAAAGTGCTGGGATTACAGGTGTGAGCCACCCTGCCCAGTCAAGGTGTATGTTTCAAAACATATGCCTAGAGACCAACGGTACTGCAAGGAGAACTTTGCCTATGATGTCTAACAGCCTAGATTTAAGTGCTAGCCCTGGTGATTATAAGCTGAAAGCACTGTAAACTTAGCTCAATTAAAGTCCATAAATATTTACTATCTCAGGACTTTAAGGGACTTGCATCCTTACCTGGGACTACAGAGCAAATAGCAGTCCTTCACAACCATTCTTCTCTGAGCCTCTATTTTCTCACTTACAAAGTAAAGAGAATAATGGTTCCTCTCCTCACAGGGTTATTATGAAGATCCAGTGAGAAAAACAAGAAAATAAATGTACTGTGATGTTGTGAAAGTACTCTGTAAACATAGGGTGTTCAAGACAACTACTGAGAAGAGAAAAACACTTCAGCTCTTCTTGGTAGCTTTCCTTTAACTATTGACCAGCCATCCCATAGCAAAAGGCCTAAGTACATTTTTTTAAAGCTAACAGCATTACCCTCATTGAGGTAAGTTTATATTCATACCCATAAAAATACTTTTCCATCTATGTCCTCTTCCTCTCACTTTGGTTTATAACATTTATGCATAAATTACAATATTCTTTGATATCAATATTGCTATGTAATATCAGATGATATGAAGCATTAAAGAAGGCACCAATATAAAATTGAAAGCAGAGAACAGCCCAAGAGCTCATGGCTTGCACTTTACAACCCCGAGTACATTCAAGGCCCATCTGTGAGAGACATTTTAAGCACATCAGTTGCATGAGTTGCAGCTGACAGGGGTCTCACCCAGGCCCTGAGTAACTCCAGGAATCAGGAAAGGAGGAGAGAGGATTGTTCTTCCTTTCAGCTCCCAGGCTGGGGCCCCAGTGCCACCTCAGTGTGGGAAAAAGGTGATTTATGGGAGTGTACCCATGAAACCTTCCCTGATTCAGTTCTTCCAGAGATAGATTATGTCTCATGTATTTCTACCTCCTCTACTCTGATTCCTTATTATATTTAATAGCTGGTGAATTTGGTCTTTATTTCTACTCCTGTCAACAGAGAACATTCACTTAGAATCCACTAAGTACCAGACAGCATTCAAAGTGCTATGGAGAAATGTAAATAACATGATATGCATGATTCCTGCTTTGCAGGAGTTTAGAAGGAAGCAAACCAGCATTTATTGCCAGGCAGTGAGTATTATTTTAGGTTCTCTGACAAGGACACTTCGAAGTGGGTCTTAACTTTATTTTATAAATGAGGCGTCTGAGGCTCAGAGAGATACATCTGCCAAGATCACACAGGTAGCGAGCGTCTGGGCCAGGTCTCTCCAAGGCCCTACCTTGTTCTAAAATCCATGCTCTTTCCACTCTAATCCATTACCTCCCGTAGTCAGAAAGGCAGGACACACACCAAAAAGGAAAGCGAACACAGATATTAAATATTAAAGAAAACCTACTAATAAATAAGTACTAGAAACTCTACAGACTGTCCTGTGTGCAAGGGTGGCCAAGTGCCTGGAGCAAGGCTAGCCTTTGAGCTGATTCTAAAGCACATCAATGACACACTCTGGAAACAAGGAAGGTGGATGCCAGTCAGAGAACAATTGTGCCGGGAACCAAGAGAAATTACAGTCTGGGTGATTAACACTTCTAAGAACGAAAGCTACAGTGCAACCTGCCATCTGTCCTTCCGGATTCAGAGGCTTTGTCTTTGTGATCCTGGGAAGCATAAAAAGACTATGGAACTTTGCAAGTTGCTGTGATTTTCAGAGACCCATCTTCCAAGCACATGCAAGAGACCAGTGGTTCCTTGTTAGCGTGTTGCCAACTTCATTACACTCAGCATTAAATATCCCTTTCCACATAGCACTCTCATCAGCGTGGTGAAAGGGAATCATTTTTCTCCTGACATCTGGGGTTGGTTTCACAGAGGATTTACAGGGGAAAAGTCAACACACGTGGCAATGTTTTCAAGCCTTTGTTTGGATTTTCTGTTTTCTAGGAGATGTACGACTAAGGGGTCAGTCGGGGTTTCCTGCTGAACGCCGCGGCTCCTACCCATTCATTGACTTCCGCCTACTTAACAGTGAGTAATCAAGTGTACCTGGAAAGGAACAAACGTTTTCTTCAAAAAGAAAAAAAATATCCTCATTTCCCTCTGAACTTCAAAACCTTCCGGGGTCTGCCGTCCTTCCTGAATCTCTCTTCTGCCAACTGGAACTTAACCCTTTGTCTTTGAATTTCCTCACAAGTGAAGTAAATCTGGCCCTGCCCTACCTATCAGAGCTTCAGTGAGGGTCAAATGAGATCAGGTCAGCGTTAAAAGTATAAATCTCTGGTCGGGCGTTCTGACTCACGTCTGTAATCCCAGCCCTTTGGGAGGGCAAGGCAGGAGGATTGCTTGGGCCCAGAAGTTTGGGACCAGCCTAGGCAATATAGTGAGACCTTATCTTTATTTTAAAAATCAAAAAATCAGCTGGGCATGGTGGCTCATAACTGTAGTCCCAGCTGCTTGGGGGCTGAGGTGAGAGGATACCTTGATCCCAGGAAGGTGAGGCTGCAGTGAGCCAAGAATGCACCACTGCCCTCCAGCCTGTCTCAAAAAGAATAATTTTTTTTAAATAAAAATTCTCAAAAACTGTGATGCCCTCTACAGGGAAGCTACTATTTTCATTTTCCAGTGCATTCTTTCTACCTTCAGCCAGAACTAGACTCGGTGAGATTCCATTTTCTTTTTAAACCCCCACAGGCAAACCTCTTCTATAGTAGCCCTTAGTAACCTACCTGTTACGGAATTCTCACTTCTTTATCTAATATGCATCCTCGAGGTATATTCTTGCATTCCTGGTAAAACTCTTCACCGTGGCCAAATCCAAAGCACTTGCTCCTTTCTCCCTTGAGCCTCACAAGTTCATGGGCTTCTACCCTCCCCTCCATAAACTACTCCTCATCAGGAGTTTTGCTCAACCTTTGGCCCATCATTATTTGTTCCTTTGCAAACCCAAACCAGTGGCCGATCATCTCTCCAGATTTCATATCTTATAATTATCATAATCATCCTTCACTTTAGACTTGTCAGGGAGGTGGAAGAGAAAGTGGATAAATTTCACAATTTGTTCCAAGGTTTTCAGTCTTTGGTTCTCATATCACTTCCCATCTATAAATTTCAAAGTGCTGGATTATACCCATAGAATATTACTTTCCTTTGACATAAATATTCTCAGCTAAAGATGTAATTTTATTTACTTCAACCCCTGGAAATTACTAGGAGACATTAGAACTTGTTATTTCTGATCCTTCGATCTTTGAAAGACCAATAGGAGGTGGCCATGTTTGTGTTTCTCCTGGCTTGTTAACCTCCCATATCAATGTACAACGTCTGTTTTTGTTTGGTTGGTTGGTTTGTTGGTTTGGGTTTTTGTTTTTTTTTTTAGCACTTTGAGGGACACAGAGACTTGGAGTAATTCTTTCCACACTAGAGATAACCTTCGATACCCAGATCCTCAAAAATGCTTTTGGAAGACAGAGTTGAACCATTAGACCAGTGCAATATGGGATATGGCCTATGGGAGCTCTAATGGTCTTTCTGACCTTTCCTTATGACCGTGAATAAGCTGTCCCAGCTACCCACAGAAGTTACAACTTTGACAGTCTCTAGACTGAATAGATTTCCAGGTCCTAGGCTTGTGGTTTTTCTAAGCAGGACAAGGATGAGCAAGGGGTTCCATTTCTCTGTTTCATATAGACCAGAACTCTCCCACAGCATCCCATTTTGAAAGTCAGAGGGAAAGAACAGCCAAAAGTCCTCCTTCCAATAGTAGATGAGTTGTCAGTTCATGATTTCTAATATGAACCACAAAGGAATTAGGAAAATAAGGGGATATTTCTGTTTATAACTCCTAAGTTTCCAATGATTATTTTAAAACTTTAATCCCAGTGTCAATAAGCAACTTTACTGCCAATGGTGGTTATCTTTGCAGGTGGGACAGTGGAATATCTATCTATATTATAGGATTCTGTAACACTTTTTTCTTTTCTTTTTACAATTTGCAATCTGAAAAACAACTGCAAAAATAAATAACACTTAAAGAGAAACTCATTGTAGAAAATATTTCTTTTTTGAGATGGAGCTTTGCTCTTGTTGTCCAGGCTGAAGTGCAATGGCATGATCTTGGCTCACTGCAACCTCCGCCTCCTGGGCTCAAGCAATTCTTCTGCCTCAGCCTCCTGAGTAGCTGGAATTACAGGTGCCAGCCACCACGCCCGGCTAATTTTGTATTTTTAGTAGAGATGGGGTTTCTCTATGTTGGTCAGGCTGCTCTTGAACTCCTGACCTCAGGTGATCCCCTCGCCTCTGCCTCTCAAAATGCTGGGATTACAGGCATGAGCCACTGCACCCAGCCTGCAGATAATATTTCAGTGTCGTAGTGTTCACCATGTAAGAGATCATCTGCCAGCAACTGCTATCCTATCTCCCCTCTGCTGGAGATCCTCCAGGACTTCTGAGTGTCTGGGCTCAACCTCAGCCTTATTTCCCTGGCCCTGGATGCTTCCTGCCCCTCCACCCCCATTTCACCCCGCTTGGTGTTCACAGTCTTCCACTCATCAAGTCACAGTGTTGGCCATCCACACTCAAATTCCCTTTAGGCTCTCCTTGGCATCCATTCCAGATAACTCTTTCACTCGTGTTTCCTCTGTAACATATTGCAGAGGCAATATTAATTTTCCTTTAGTGTATTTTGCTTTATATGTTGTCTCCAGTTTTACATATCAAATACACCACCAAATAAACTATAAGATGTTAAAGATAATTGCTATTGATCACTTACTAGCTATAGTTAACTTAACAATTATTAAATGGTCTCCTCAAAAACATTATACTAAATAACTATGAATGTTAATATCCCTTGTATTTAACTGAGGAACACAGACAGGAATGAAGACCTCTAAGATTTTCCTTTGTTTATGATACTCTTTACCTCTTGGTGTAATGTACCATATATATACCCCACTGGTGAGTGGAAACTAGAACAGGAAACATGACTGTGGTCACCCTCCACGGTTCCTAACTTAGTTTGCAATTGCAGCGCTTTCTCACCACGGAGCAAAGGCATATGAGTATCTGTGTTACGCACAGTCACATCAGGTATATATGTCATACCTCCTACTACTTCATATACTGTCTATTTAATTCTCTTTAATATCATTCGCGTCCTTGTTGTGGTTTGCCTGAGTTGTTAGTGTATGCTTTATCCCTAAAGGGAAACATCTTGGGACATTTGGGGATTTTCTCCTAGAACTTTACTTTTGACCAGCTCATTCCTATTCTACACTGTAAGTGCTGAACTAATTTAAAATGATTCTTTAGATCACTTACCTTAATTTTGAGTCAAATCTTTCCCAGTGTAGGCACAGACCCCAAACTTCATTTTCCTTGGGTGCTTGCAGTTTTATTCTCTCTCCCACAGCAAAATCTAATCTAGGATTTTTTTAAAACCATTTATAGGAAAAACCACATCACCATAACCATCACTCCCCAGCTTTGCATCCCTGCAGCCTTCCTTCCAAAATGCTTAGCAAAACCCACACAACTGCCATCCCCTTTCCAAAGTGTTTGCTGGGTGGGTGCCCCTCTTCCACCCACCTTGGTATATGCATTGAATCACTGGAGCACACGAGAGCAGAAATGTATACTAAATAGTGAGGCTCATGCATTTCCCCATTGGTCCCATTAGTCACAGCCCCAGTCTGTCACAGGAGGGTGGGGGACATCAGAATTAAAATCTAAAATTACTTGTCTTCAACCAGAACAAAGTTTCTAGGCATTAAAATGGATAACTAGAACAGAAGTGGACAAATAACTAGACAGCAAATCTGTCCCATTCTCCTGCCTATTTTGGTTAAGAAAATTTTACTAAGATATTGCCATGCCCATTTGTTTATATGGTATCTGTGACTGCCGTCACTGAAACAATGGCAAAGTAGTTACAATAGAAACTGGGCAGTCCACCACTCCTCCCTGCCACAAATCCCAAAATATTCCCCCTATGGCCTTTATAGAACAAGGTTGCCAACCCCTAACTTAGATCTTTTTAAACAGATTTAAGAGAGCTTTATGACACAGCCACAAGCACATTCAGTCCAGTCTGTTTATCTTTGTTTATGATTTTTTTCTGTTAAATTTCCAGTGCCATCACTTTACTTTCAAGAATGGACTCACATCGTGTAAATTTTTATGAACAGAAGTATACACAGAGGAAACCTCTATTTAAATTCCAATTTAAAATTAAAATTTCTAATTGCACATTCTACTGGAAGAGGTTATTTTCGCCTGGAGGGGAAGCACATATTTGGGGCAGGGGGAAACACAGGACTACCATGTTCATGTACCTGTTATTTGCATATAAGGTGACTCTTGGTTTACCTGGCATAGTCCTAGTTTGTACATGTTGTTTCAGAGTATTTATTAATAGTGCTGTCCTTCATTCCCAGAGTGTCCTGATTTGGACACTAAATTACAAGGCCAAATGCTTATATAGGTTTTCCCACAAAAGAGTACTTCAATTTAATGTCTCTCAAAGACCACATGTAGGAATGTGTTTAAAAGATCTATTGTACAATATAATGTCTATAGTTAATAACAAATGTCTACTTGGAAACATTGCTAACAGAGTGGGTTTTAAATGCTCCCATCACAAAAAGTAAGTATGTGAGGTATATTTAGCTTTACTTAGCCATTTCACGTTGTGTGTGTGTTTCTGTCTATATATATATTTATCTCTCTATATATATATATTTTAAGATCTATCTATATAGATATATCTATATATATCTTAATATATAGATAGATAGGTCTATATATTAGGGAGACTCAGGCAGCACTTAGTGAGGATGAGCCCTCACCCTCGTCTTCCTCCCCAGCAGTGCATGCAGGGGGCTGTTTACACGTCCGTGCCGGGCGGGACCGGGCGCTCTCGGGGGCCACTGCAGCATCTGCCTGCTCCCTGGAGGCTCCTGTTCTGGACTCACAGGTCTCAACTGTGGCGCCTTCTCAGGGCCAGCCTGGGTCACAAGACGCTGTCACTC